AAAAAAAGGCCGGTCAAGTGGTCCTGAGACGGCAGTCAGCTGCTGACAGCCTCCGATGACACTGATTGGTTCAATTGTACGTATACACACACGAATACTGACTTATACAAAATAAATTCATAAAACCCCAACAAAAATTTACAAATTTAAATATTTTTATTATAAATCACATCAGAACCAATAAAATACAAATCGAAAATACATAAATATACGCATATGTAACTACATGTAACTACATGTTACTATAGTAATGTATAGTAATGTATACAGTCTCTTGAACAGATCTGATGTAACTTAAAAAACAAAAATTTGACACCTTCAAGGAAATGATCAATGGCCTTCATTAAGCTGCAATTGCAAAATCAAAACAAAAAGAAATTACTTTAGTGCAAATCAACAAATTTGAATAAAAACATCAAAACACTCAAAAATCACCAAACATTAAGAGACCGAGAGATAGAGAGAGAGGTTATTGCTGGGAAATGCAAAAAAATATAGAAATAAATATGAAAAGATAAAAATAAACGAAATTACCATCAAAATATAGATCCCGACGAGAGGAATCCAACGGTGGATGACCCGTCAAATTTCGACGGGTGGAACACAAAATAAAGCTCCGGCAAGACCACCGTTCTTGAATGAAAAAAAATTGCAGAAACAGATCCGCGCTCGAAACTGAATGAAATCACCACCAAAAGAAAGAGCTCGACGTGAGGAATCCAACGGTAGTTAAACCATCGAATTCCGACCACCGGAGAGAGAGTTATGGCTCCGGGAAGCAATTTCGCCGGTGAGAGGTTTGTAGAGGCGGGATTTTAAATCTGGGAGAAGAAGAGAGAGACCGTGAGTGGCTAGGGTTAAAACTGATTTTAGAAGGGTATTATAAGAACTTCAGGGTAGTCAGGGGGTATGTCAAAATATTTTCGAAATGAGGGGGGTTTCACCTAGAGTGTAATCCACTTGGTAGTTAGTTCTATATAATTTGGAAATGAGGGGGGTCTACAAAATAATCCCTATAATAATATTTAGGGCAAATTACAGTCACCCCTGAGGTATTACGAAAAAACCCCTCTTGTTTGGGTAATTACAGCCAACCCCCCTCCTTTTAGATATTTTCCATAAAATTTAAGTAATTCTGTTATTAACCAAAACAAATCGTATACTTAGTTCGGTAAAAGGTATAAAATGTTGGCGTACCGAAATTTCGGTTCGACATAACCGATTTAACATCCCTAAATTTACTTCTGGAGGGGTTTTTTTCGTAAGATTTTACATAGTTGAGAGAATGGCTGTAATTACCCAAACATGAGGGGAATTTTCGTAATTTGACCATAACTCAGGGGTGGCCGTAATTTGCCATAATTTTTATTTTGAATATATTTGTATCAAAATATAAAAAAAAAAATTCATATAAACTTAAATAGTATATTTACAAAAATATACCTACATATTTTTAATATTTACACATTTCCCCCAAATTGTCGTATCCCCATTTTTAGAATGTGTCGTTTCCTGTGTCGGTTTCCCTATTTACCCGTCTCGGTGTTTCCGTGTCCGTGCCACATAGAATGAAAAACAATAATGTAATTTTTGTAAAATATAAACATTACTATCATGAAAAAATTAAATTAAAAAATTTACTAACTAATTTAATTTTATTTGGTTGGTCGAACTTTGCCCTAAATCAGACGATTGCAGTTCCCTCACCTCTACAACCATACAACTCCCCAATCACAGTCTGAATCGAAGTTCCAATCACGCTGTAGAAATGGTGCCCTCTTTCCTAAAGGTTCGATTTTCCCGCTATATCCGATTGCAATGACTTGTTAGTAAAAAAAAAAAAAAAAATCAAAACTTTTGAATGAATTTTTGTTGAATATTTTGGGGTTATGGAGTTTTAGAGATCGGGATTTGACAACGCAGTTCGTTTTTTTTCTTCTTTCTTTAGGTTTTAAGTTTCTAGGGTTTGTTTTCTATGCCTTTAACTTCGTAATCGAATCGGGTGTTAGCTGAACAACGTAGTTTCTGCAAATTTTTTTGTTGTCAATTTATTGACGACGATGGCGGATAGGAGGTATAGGGTGAGTAGCAGGGGTGGGTCCCGGTCACCTCGGCGACACTCGCCCGGGTCTCGTGATTATATTCCTTCAAAGCGTGGAGAATATTCCCCCGATACTCGTCGTGGGAGAGAGGAATATTCTCGTGAGGCCGATAAATCACGAAGAATCAACAGAAGTGACCATTTCGAAAGGGATTCCGCTCCGAGGTTTACAGAGTACGATAGCAGGGATAAGGATAGATATGTGGTTGGTGGTAGGCAATATAGGAGCCGGAGCCCATCGATAATCGAGAAACGGGGTAGTTTCGGTAGGGATTATGAAGATGCAAGTAAAGGTAGATTTAAGGATAAGGGTTCCGTTGGGCGTCCGAGTATTGATTACCAGGGTTCTTATATTGGTGGTGATTCGAGTTTAATGAAGTTTCAAGTGGATCGCCTTATAGATGGGCCAAGAAAATCGGATCATCCCAGCTTGAAGGATTATAGCCAAGCTCGTCACTACAATGGTGTTGGTGATACTAAAGTCACTAGTGGTGGAGAGAGGGATTATTATCCGGGTAATCATTACTCGGAATCGGGTCGACCCGGATTACCGTCGGAATCGCAGTATCTGGATAGGGTCAAGCCCGTCCCCCTAGAATACGAGAGGGGGAGAATGACGCACCCTCGTTCTTACAGATTGGGTGATGGTGGTGTTGAACGTATACCCGCAAGTAATTTCGGTGGTGGCAATGGTAGCAGCAGCCAGATGCCATCTGTGGCATCACGGTATTTGAACAATACCGATACTGATAAATCGAGATACGTTCATTTCCGGGACGAACTTGCTACGGAGAAAAAATACGGTGGCTTGCCCGATCGAGAATCTCACCCTTTTGAAAAGAAAAACGATACCAAAACAGAAGGAAGAGAAATATACAAATTCAAGAAAGAAGACGACCTTCTTTCTTCACGAGGCTATTTGAAGGGAGATTCCGACTATATGGCATCATCGTCATCTCAGCCTAAGGATTATGTTCCGTATTCATCACGGATTTTGAGGGAGGGGTTTAAAAGTTACTCCGGTAGTAGAGAACTTAATACGCCGTCTGATGTGATTCGAGGAGGGAGTGGATTGGCTTCTCAGCCTATTGGCTTCGATAGATACAGTGAAGAGAAGCAAAACATGTTCTCAAGGAGTAACTCAAGATTAAGTATTGGGTTGCCCGAGGAGAAGCAAAGAGACGAGCTGTATGCAGGATTTGGTCGAAGCAAAATAAGGGGTATGAGTACAAGGATCAATGATGTTGAAAACGAATACAAAGACGAGTTTGTTTATCCTTCACCTTATAGCTTCTCTCCTACCGAGTACTTGCAGTCGACATCTGATAAATTTGATGCTAGTGGATCTGTGCGTGTTAAAAGGCAAGATCTAGATATGTTGGGTAATGAGAGCTCTCTCCTCAATTATGGAACTGAAGAATATTCTGGATATGGAATTGATAGAACTGAGGCGGATCGTTTTGAAAGATCGGATATCTTACAACCGAAAGCATACGACCCCTCGTTTGGCAGACTTTATGAGAGCTTCGATGAACCCTCTGAGAAGAGGTTGAGACACAAACATGTGAGGGATGAACTGTTGTCCGAGCACGATGCCGGGATCAGAATATCCACTGACAGGAATGGTGCTAGGAAGATTTACAACCACCAAGTAAATGCAGGAGATGAAATTGATCTTTTAAATTTGTCGAAGAAGAAGCCCAAATATAGCGAATCTATCTACGAGGAAAATGACCGGCCAGCCTCTTCAAAACGGCGTTCGGTCAAAACCCGTTTATCTGATTCTAGAGACGTGAAGGATCGATTGGGACCACTTCCTCAAAAGCTGCACGTTTTCCAGCGTTTGGTGAGAAAAAATAAGCCTTCCATAAAGAAGCGTTTGGCACCTGCCCCAACAAATAAACGTTCTCTTCCATGGGTGAAAAATCGGACTAGTGACAGAATTACGACAATCCAAGATGATTCGGATGTAATTCCTCACGAGCTTGGTGGGGCCCACTTGGAAGATGATCTTCCTCGTGCGAAGCCTGAGCCTTCGGAGAAGTCTCGGGACTTCAAGCAGATGATGAAAAGCGCGTTTTTCAAGTTTCTGAAACAGATGAATGAGACGCAGACGAGAAGAAAGATGTACACGGAGCGAGGAGAAGCTGGTAGTTTAAAGTGCATTGTATGCGGCAGGTCTGTGAATTGTTTACCTAGTGGAGATAAACTGCTAAACATCTTCCCGTTTTTTTCATTGTGCTTAATTGTTTTTAGAGCGTTCGAGTAAGCATTTTTTACTGATCTCATGTCATCATTTCACATGAGATCATTCATCATTCACCTAACTTCGAGGAATCTTTGTCGTCATGCAAATGCAATCCCATGGGAAGATCACGAGAAGTCAACTTCAAATTCTAGTGTCATTCTGTGATGGAAAGTACAAAATTATTATTTGAGCTCCCGATTTCCTCCGAGTAGAGACTCTCTTTCCAACAGTGTTGTTGAGAATTTTCACTGCTGGCTGGTCATCGTGCGTGTGTGTGTTTTTCTATTATCGTTAGTAATAATATATTTTAGTTTATTACTATGTGGGTCCCACAGGAGGATAGATTAAGTATGTAGCATTAGGGGTAAAAATGGAATTCAATGTCCATGTGCATAGAGTTCGGAAATAGCAAAGACAGCATCAGTCTTTATAACGTTTTCCGAAAGAATGTTTAGTATGGAATTTGGGATTAGTGTATGGCTGGCATAGTTGGCGTTGGTTGAAGCATGCAGAAGTAGGGGGAAAAGAAACAAAGCACAAAATTGCGTCTTGTTTGATATTTTCTCACTAAGATACTTTCTGTTGGATATTTTGTGTTCTTTCTGATATGAAATGTTCTCGTATGTTTTTTCTGATATATTCCTTCGTAACTCAAAAGTAGTAATATTTATCTTTGTTGGCCAAGTGTTGTTTCAGCGACTCGGACGAGTTTGTAGAGACAGAAAGCTTGGCAATGCATGCGTTTACGTCGAAAAAGGCTGGCCTTAGATCTCAGCATTTAGGGTTGCATAAAGCACTCTGTGTGCTGATGGACTGGAAGTTTCCGGAAGATTCGAGCAGTGAGTGGCACTGTGAGCCCATTTCCAGTGCCGAGAGTTCCGCTTTGAAACAAGACATCATTATTTGGCCCCCAGTCGTGATTGTTCATAACACTACCGATGAAGGGGTTGTTCTATCGACCGAAAACCTGCATATGAAACTCACAGGTCATATTTTTTCTCCGATTCTTTTTTTTCAATTTTTTTACGTTGTTTCGGTTATTTTCTAAATTGTTTATATTTTCGTATAGAAATGGGATTCCAAAGCATTCTTAAAGTAAGCAATGGAGAACCTGCAAATCAAAGTACGATGGTGGTGAAATTCAACGCTACACTTTCTGGATTACAAGAAGCAGAGAGATTGCACAGAAACTATGTTCAATCGTCGGAGAGAGAAAAGGAAGATCTTTTGTACGCTCATCTGGGAATTGCGGAGGATCTCGATAAACTCGACTCCGACACCAAGAAACGGTGTCTTTTGAAGAGCAAAAACGAGATTCTCACCATTGTGGAGAATTGTTAATGCTAGGTGAAATATAATTTGTTTGGTTGGATGTAAAATGCTAGGTTGAAATACCAAATTACTTTACATTAGTAGCATTTTATTTCCAACCAAACAAATGGAACTATTTTTACCTCGTACTTTGTCCAGTCAATTGTTTTTCTTGATATAATCGTAGTCTTGGTGTTTTGGATTTTGAAGACTGGAATTTTGTAATTTCTTTTTGTTCACGAAAAATTGGAGAAATCGGAATGAAATACATTGATCAGAATCGGTGGAATTCGAAGATTCCGTTTCGATTTCCAACCCTAAATATACATAATTATTAAAAAAAATACAAGGAAAGTAGTTACTCTCCATAAACAGACAAATGTATCCCAATAAACTTCAAAACAAGATCAAAACCAAATTAAAAAATATGTAAAAAAATATTATGGAACAACATTTCCCAAACGAAAACCTCAAAATTAATTTCTCACAATCATCTTCTTTGAAAGTTGAGGAACTTAATCCCGTACGCGAAAACGAGGAAGAAGAGCAACACCCATCCGACATGCGCAAACACCACCGGGATAAGAAAATCATGATCGTACCCTAATTCCTCTTTAAGAAACTGATTCACTTTCATCGTTGCGATATTTCCCGTTAGCTCAAGATCTCCTGTTTGGTCTCCTATTTGCGACGTGAAAATCCCGTATATTGTCCATGCAACCGGCGAAGCCCAGTAGTACCATCTCCACCATATCGGTATTAGCTGCAATTATTCATAAAAAAATAAAAAATAAAAAAATTGTTCGTGTCTCGAATTTTTTACGTATATATAGATATAGATATAGATAAATACTTACGGGACGTGGGATGAGAAAACCGGAGAACAAGTTCCAGAAGCTGAGAAAAAAGGACATAACAATGGCGGCAATTTGATATCCGGGAGTTAAAGCAACGACCATCATACCGTACATCGA